TAACAACACACACACACACACACACACACAAAACACAAACACAAACACACACACACACACACACACACACACACACAAACACAAACACACACACGCACGCACACACACACACACACACACACACACACACACACACACACACACACACACACACTTGTGCGATGGAATTCACTCCTCATCATCGCCGCCCCCCTCTTCTCCTTCACACACACACATACATTAGTCGGCTGGTTGCTGTTGATCCCGGGTCGATGCTGAACATGTCTGTGGTGGCGGATGCGTATCCACAGCCGACATACCAGTGGTACCGCGGCAACACGCTGCTGGCTGGCGCCACCGCCCCCACGCTCATCATCGCCAACGTCAGCGCCGCACGCGATGGCGGCATGTATTCCGTGCAGATATGCAATGCACTCGACTGCAAAGAGAGCGAAAACGCTGTCGTTCGCGTCAACGCTGCCCCGGAACTGACGGCCACCGGTGTGCGCAACACTACGGCTGTTCTCGGCGATCACGTGAGCTGGACACCCACCGTCGCCGGCATCCCCTTCCCCACCGTCACGTGGTACCGCATCAGCAGCGATGGTGGCGATGGTAGCATCACCAACATGACTACAACAGCCGTGGCCTCCACACTCACGCTCTCGTTTGCCTCCGTGGCTGCTGCTGATGAGGGCATGTACTTCGCCACGCTGTCAAACCACCTTGCCACCGTGCGCACCCCACTGTACTCGCTGGTGGTCATCACACCGCCGCGTGTTGTGCACATGTCCCCGTCACGGCACGTGCTCGTCGGCACACGCGTTGCTCTCTTTGTCGACGCAGTGAGCAAGGATCCGGCGCCCCTCACCTACCAATGGCTGGTCCGTCTTTGCCATGCTGACTGCCCACTGATTTTGTGTAGCCGCGACAGGCGTGTGTTCTGGTCGTGTTTGGCCGCTTGTTTGTGGTGTGGTTCGGTGTTCGGCGCATTGTGGCGTGTTGGGCTTTTGCTGCTCATTGGTTGTAATTGCGGCACAACAAGCGCCACTGCCATCATCGTTGTCGTTGTCGTCATCGTCTTTAATGCATCCGTACTTGCTTTCTTCATGGACAACAGCCACACAGTCCTTGCGCCAGCTCACCATTGCTCCTCTACCCACCACCACTGTCATCATCATCATCATCATCATCATCATCATCATCATCATCATCATCATCATCATCATCATCATCATCATCATCATCATCATCATCATCATCATCATCATCATCATCATCATGTCGTGTCCCTCCTCCCCCAATGGCCAGCACGCCTCGACGGTGCTCGTTGGCGCCAATTCGCCCTCGCTGATCATTTCTGCAGCGACACCAAATGACGCCGGCGACTACACAGTCCAGATCAAGAACGTGGCAGGTGCGTGAGGCCACGGACGCAAGAGACAGGGGTTGAGGGGCGGTGATAGCGTGAATGATTGGTAGTGGGCGTGAACATGCAAATGTGTTGTTGTGTCGCCTTCGTGCTGTTATCGTTGTTGTCGCTGTCACTGTTTTCTGTTGTTGCAATTGCTCTCTTCATTTTCTCCCCTCATCATCGCGCGCCGCCATCTGCAGGGACGACCGTCTCGAAGCCGATTCGTCTCAACGTCACAGACGACGGAGCAACAGTCCAGGTTAAGTCGCGGGTTACAATTGTGTTTCAATTGTGTTACAATTGCGGCTTCTGCTGGCACTGCGAAGTGCAGCTTGCGCGTCTTGCCTCCGTTGTTTTGATTGTAATCACAGCCGCGTTTCCATCTTTGCACACACACACACACACACACACACACACACACACACACACACACACACACACACACACACACACACACACACACACACACACACACACACAGGCGGACGTGCAATCCGGTGGTCTTGTCGTCCTCACGGCTCCGGGTGGCGGTGACACATACACGTGGACGGTACGCAAGACGTGCATTCGAGAGCGGGCGACTTGTGAGCGTGCGTTCATGCTATCGTGTTGCTGTCGTGGTGGCTCATGACGTGTTTGCGACCTCCCGTGTTGTGCGTTTTTGCAGTAGCGATTCAAGTGCAATATGTTCTCACTTCCATCCCATCACTCACGTGCTCTATGCCATCAATTTGCAACGCTGCACGCGTCTTGTTGTTGCTGTAGGCCAATGGAAATGCCATCAACACAACAGACGCAAACACAATCACATTCGCGCCGCCGTCGGCCGGCACATACACGTTCACGGTGAGCACATGTGCACCATGGCGTAAGCTGGTGTTCTGGTTCAGAACTCCACCTACGATTTCTCCAAACACCGTCGTAATCATAGCACAGCTCACTACCACACGCCCGCACAGCAGACGTGATTCGCCCCCTCACGCATCAAGCACCCATCAATGCCACCGTTGATGACAGGTTGTCATCTTCATGGGCGATGATGTGCGAACGGTCGTGAGCGAGTCGCCACTTGTGTTCAGCGCAACACACACGCAGACAACAGCGAACACGCGGACCACCACAGCGCCAGCAAGTACGTTCAGCACGAGTGAAGGGCGCATGTTGCTTTTTATTTGGGGCGTGCTTCTTGGCGAATGTTGTTGCTTGTGCATTTCCTCAACTTTTTCTGTTGTCGCCTTGAGTCGCGCCCGTCTAAAACACATCCACACACACATACACACGCATACAAACACACACACACACACACACACACACACACACACAAACAAACATCACACCTCTTCTTACATCCTCATATTTCATCCCTGCTCGCAAACGATTTGCACACACATGGCTACTCATGGCAGGCCGGAACAACAACAACAGCGATGACACGAACACGTACATCATCATTGGCGGCGCCGTTGGCGGATTTCTCGTCATTGTCGCTGTCATTCTGCTGGCAGCGGTTGCAGTCCGCAGGTGAGCACACAACCGCACGCGCTCAGTCGAAACATGGCGGTGCACTCGATGTGTGTCATGTGTTGTGAGTTTCATACAGGCCCATGTCTCGACCACACATGTCCTTACCACCCGCACGCATTCACCGCGTACCACTTTGTATCATATTGCACGACGTGCCTTTGCACCGCGTGTCAGGCGGCGGCGGCGGAAACAGGAGCGGGATGTGATTTGTCGCATTCTGGACGAGTGCAACAACCCGCTCAACGACGAGCAAGTTCGCGAGTGGACAAAGGTGCGTTGGCTTCGATTGTGGACAATGGTGGTGATGGTGGCGGTTATGATGATGGAGGTGGTTGTCGTGGTGTTAGTGTTCGTGCTGCAAGGGGAAGAGGGGACAGGCATGGCTCGCGCACGTCATTGCTTCCTCCATCACCAGTTTTGCATGACCACCGACCTGCTAACTTTGCACATATCTGCCTGTGTGTGTGTGTGTGTGTGTGTGTGTGTGTGTGTGTGTGTGTGTGTGTGTGTGTCAACAGGAGATTTGTCCGGGCCCGCTTGGATTTGAAGTGGAGAAACCCGAGATGATCGATCCCAAAAACGTCAAACTCTGTGACCACGTCGTCGCCCGGGGGTGCGCTCGCTCCGGCTGTATTGTGGCATCACCCAATGACTCGCACACGCTCTTTCTTTACTCCCTTCCCTGCACGCAATGATATGCACGCATTCCTTGTGTCGGCGCCTGATTGTGACAACTCACATGTTTCACCGACATTAACAACAACAACAACAACAACATCATCATCATCATCATCATCATCATCATCATCATCATCATCATCATCATCATCATCATCATCATCATCATCATCCCCACCACTATCAGAGACATTGCGCGTATTCAAATGGCGAATTACGTCCGCAATGGAACTGCAATCCCAGCAGAGGCGAAGATCCTCAGCAGCAGTGCCAACGACGAAGGTGATCGCAGCTGCTGCATTCAATTGTGCACATGTCACTGACACTTGCTGCTGCTCTTCTTCGAATCGTTGAAAGCCGTCGTCGAAAGTCACGGACGCTCACCGCCTTCTCGAACACACAAACACAATACACACACACACACACACACACACACACACACACACACAACGCACGCACGCACGCACGCACACACAACGCACGTGCCCAACTGCTGATTTGACCTGAGCAGCTCGCCGCAGCTTTATGGTGGAAGCACACCTCTTGCACAACCTCCGACACAAGAGTGCGTTCATTGTCTTTGCATGCAGTTGTACGTGCTGTGCCGTGTTAGTGCCCATGTCGCAATCGCACATGACCTCACGTCCTCACGCATCGTCTGACCCACATACCTTCTCCCCTCTCACACCTCACACTCACTCACTTACTCACTTACTCACCCACCCACTGACATTGCGACTGCAACCAGACATTCTTCGCATTTTCGGTGTGTCTGTTGCCGGCCAGGCGTGGTGCATCGTCACAGAATTGCCGTTTCGCGGGCGCCTCAAGAACTTTCTCAGAAACCACGTGCGTGCGTGTGTGCGTGTGTGTGTGTCAGAGTGCGATGTACTGCTGTGCGTTATGAAAGACAAACTGCTTTCTTCAGAGATGCGAATGCATGCACCCACATACGCTCTTTGTATTTTATCATGTGTGTCACCCTTTGCTCGCCCTCACGTGTTCGCGTGTTCTCTCTTGTGTGGCATCAGGCCCACAATCCGGAGATGCGTGAGCTGGGCGATAAGCAAAAGGCGGAATTTGCACTCGATATTGCAAAGGGGATGCAGGTGAGATGTTAACACCTTGTGATGATCATGAGCGTGTGTACATGTGGGCGTCTTTGTTCTTGCGTCACATTGAGGTTCAAGTGTGTATGCGTGGGTGCGCTGTCTCGGCATTGGTCGCCCATGTAGGATGCACTGCTGGTGTCCTTCTCATATTCTGGTGTCACCACCACCAACAACAACAACAAACAAACAAACAAACAAACAAACAAACAAACAAACAAACAAACAACAACAACAACAACAACAACAACAACAACAACAACAACAACAACAACAACAACAACCGCTTGCCACCATTCTTTAGTTCCTTGCGTCGTACAACTGCATCCACCGGGCTCTCATCGCTGCACACGTCGCCATCAGCGAGGACTGGACCTGCAAGGTGTGTGTGTATGTGTACACATGTGCGAGTGCTTGCCTTTGGGATTACATATGCTGGATTTGGAACACATGTGTTGTATTGTTGTTGGGAATAACGCGACGAGTTGGTGCTTGTGTTGACGATACAACCCTTCATGCTGTTGTGTTCAGATTGGCGAGTTTGGTTTTGCGAGGCGTCTGCACCGTGGCTGCGACGAATACGAAATGTGAGTCACATGTGTTGTGTTGTCGTGTTGTCGTGGTGGTGACAACGTTCTGCGTTGCTTTTGGACATGTTTGATCCTGACATATTCGGTTCCATACACTCACACACATATACGCACTCACGCGCTCACACACTCTCACACTGTCTTTCTCCACCCACAACCGCTGCCTTCACCATCATGCCCTCAGTTCGAGCCAGGTGTTCCTGTCGCGATGGCAGGCGCCGGAAGTGCTAAACGAGCACAAGTATCGCCTGCGCAGTGACGTGTGGTCATACGGTGTTGTCCTTCACGAAATCTGGAGCAAAGGCCGCGACCCATACACCACAGACGGATGGTGAGCGGCAGACAAGGGGGACAACACGTTTGTTTGCTGAAGAGAAGCTTGTGCTGGTGATATGTTATACGTGTGGTGTGTGTGTGTGTGTGTGTGTGTGTGTGTGTGTGTGTGTGTGTGCGTGTGCCACGGTTTTCGTTCTTGTTCTCTGCACTGAAAGTGTAATGCAAATGTTCATGCGTTCTGTTCCTCGCCAACGCATTTATTTCGTCGTCTTGTTCACTTCTTGTGTTTTGTCCTTTTCAGGAACGCCCACAACTTTGTTGAGCGCCTCAACCGTCGCGAGCGCATGGCACCGCCCTCGGTGAGATAGCCACACACACAAACACACACATACACACACACACACACAAACACACACACACACATGCCCTTGTCCGCCCGTCCCCAGCACATATGCACGTGTTTTGAACTTACGCACGCACGCATACAAACACGCGCGTACAGGACTGTCCGAAGCGCATCTACGACATGATGCGCGACTGCTGGCACCCGGATGACCACCTCCGCCCAAGCTTCAACGAGCTTGTGGTACGCACATGGTGCTGCATGTTTGGGCAAAAACGGGACTGGCGATAGACAGTTGCGTTTGGTATCACATTGTGTTGCCCTGCTTGTGGGCACCTTGTCCCTTCTTCCCCGCAAACATGCCCCCTGTTATTTTCGCAAGTGTCCTCAAACAGTTCTCACCTTTGTTGTTTGTGCACTTTCTGTTCAACCCCCGTGTTGCAGGATGTGCTGACAGCGCTCGTGTTCAACGGCGATTTTGGCGCCAAAGACTTTGAAGTCCCGTCAGATTTCTACCAGGGTCAATACATTGACGTCTCTGGCGTTGAGGTGAGCCAACCACGCACACTGCACGTGTGTGTGTGTGTACGTGCGTGCGTATGTTTCTCTGTGTGTCCGTGTGTGTGATTGTCTCGACACACGTACAAGGTTTCTTTCTCTCTCTCTCTCTCACTCTCTGACTCCCTCCCTCTCTGACTCTCTTCCACACACTGCCACCCCTTCTCTTCACCTTTCTTCGCCGCAGGACGAGACGGTCGACATGGACATGTCTGACACAAGCATCAACCGCTCCGTTCTGTCCATTTTCCGTGCGGTCATGGGCGGCAGGAGCGCCCGCACAACGCGACGCGCTCGTCCAGCCCAGGCATCCACAACCAGCGCCACCATGGCAAGGTGTGTGTTCTTTTGTGTGCGTGTGTGCGACAATGTCGGCTGTGGTCATCGCTTGTGTGTCATTGCGTTCGAGGGAACTCACAACAACCGCTGTGATTTGTCACACTTATTCCTTCTCACCTTCTCGTCCAATCGTCCACACGCAATCACGCGGGCCTGCAGGACCAGCCGCTTCTCGTTTCTGTATGGCGCCATGCGGGGGCGTGGCACTGCGCCTGTGCTGGCGCCGGATGCCACCATGGACGAAACATTTAGCCACGCTTACCATCGTGGCTCGCCCTCCAGCAGTCGCCCGTACTCTGTCTGCAACACCACTGGCAACGGTGACCCCGAAAACCACTACAGCCTCGCTGGTAATCGCTGCTGTGCGTGTTGTGTGTGGGTGTGTGGGTGTGTGGGTGTGGTGTCCACGCATCCATGCACATGTGAGTTTGAAAATTTTCAAGTGAACATCGCACAGCATAGCTGACCAATCAACACAGAACCTCTTCCATGCTTACTCACACGTCAACCACATGTATCCCCACGTCCAGCCGACCTTCACGAGAACGCAAGCTACACGCCAAACTACACGCCGAACCTCAGCCCGATTCGTGGCGACGCCTCCATCAGCTCAAGTTTCTCCGGTGCGAAAATGGTTTTCTTCGTTTGCAAGAGAAGCGATAGTGGTGGTGGTGGTGGTGGTGGCGATGGGATCGTTTGGTATGGTGGTGTGGATGCTCATATGGTGTCGCCGCTGGTTTGTACCTTTTGCCTTTGACCCGCCATCCATTCCCCCCCCCTCGCACTCGCGCTCACATGTCTCTCCCCTCGCACTCGCGCTCACATGTGGGTACACGCTATCACCGTGCAATTTCCTCCGACATTCCAGAGCCCGCTGTTGCGGACATCAAGGCGTCACCGCGCGTTGGACGGATGGTACTGACGGAGAAGCCGCGGCGAACACCACCAATGCCCCCGCAACTTGCCCGCACCAGCACGCACATTGGAGGTTGGCGTATTCGACAGCAGATGTGGTGCACTTTTGTGTGTGTGTGTGTGTATGGAAGATGGTGGTTTGTTACACGTGGCCTGCTTTAGCGCGGTGATGGCAACCTTGCATCTTCTCTCCGTCGCTGATTCTTCCCCTGGTTGTGTGACTGATGAATTGCGTTTAGAACGCGTGCCCAAAGCGGACTTGATTCCAAAGCCTGCCGACGAATCCCTCCTCCACGCCCGCAAGTTCCCTTCATATGGTGCGCCTTGATGTTAGCCCCATTGAACCCATTCACACGCACGCACGCACGCACACACACACACACACACACACACACACACACACACACACACACACACACACACACACACACACATTGTGCTTGTTGCGCGTTGCCACTGTCCCTCGTCCGCCTCACTGACACCGCTCCCCCCTCCCTCCATCTCTGCTTATTCTGCTGTGCCACATCAGCCATCGCTCAACGGTCGGCGAGTACTGAGGAGCCGGTGTATGCTGTTGCCAACGGGACGCCGCAACCCACGTCGTCATCGTCATCGTCACACCATCGGCGCAACATTGCCAGCGTGGTGTACACGCCGCAGCCGTTTACGACGGCGTCACAGGAGCCGACGCCAGGCACCGCGCAGCGACACATGCACACGCACGCACACCGCAAGTACCTGACAGCCATGCACGAGAACGAGAGCCTGGTGGATGATGCGGACTACTACTACGCTCGCAACGACACGACGAGCAGCAGCAACAACGACACCACCAGGGATGATGTTGGCAACGGCGCACGGTTTGACGACGAGAGCGTGATGGAGGCACGTGCAACCATGGCCAACAGCAGCCGCGTGCTGCGTAGTGCTTCCCCCATGTACACAAACGCAACAACAGTTCAATGGCAGAAGCACCTGCAGCGAGCCCGCCAGCAGCAACATGCCGCCGCACGCACAAAGGTGCTGTGTTTTGTGTGTTTTGTTTTTGAGGGTGTGAGTGTGTGTGCACATTGAGCTGGTTTCTTGGTGTGCATATGTTTGACTGACTTGTCACGCGTCTCCTGTCTTGGTGGTAATGCAGGCGTATGAAGTGGTGAGCCCGGAGAATTTCAAGAAGGACGACAGCCTTGTTGGCAGCGAAAACATGAGCATCTTTGACGGTGTGTGTTTGGGCGTGGTGTGGGAGAGGCGGTGAACAAGTGTTGTGTGCCGTGCGACTGCTGTTGCGTCCATCCCTCCATTCATCAGACATGTTCTACACACACACACACACACACACACACACACACACACACACACACACACTTCTCATTCGTTTTATTCAGCTGACTCGAGCGCCCGCCACTTGCGTGATGGGCGCGACGCATCGACATTTGACGACTTCGACGACCAACTCCAAGACCTTGGTCAGTCATAACCATCTGCTTCACACCCCACATATCTTGTCCCGTCGCTCCCTTACGCTTAATCACACACACACACACACACACACACACACACACACACACACACACACACACACACACACACACACACACACAGGTGGGGAAATGCTGGACTGCACAGAGGTCGACAGCATTGACAGCGACGAGCACGACGAAAACTCGCTGCACCACATGTCACAAGACAACGCGCTGAAGAAGAAGAAGAAGAAGAATCAACACCAACATCACAGCCACCCTATGCCGCCCATGCAGCGGAAAAGGCTCCAAAGGCAAGGCCCAGCGCCCCCTCCAAAGTGTGTTACTTCACATGCATTCGATAATGTGGCTTGCTCCACCTAACAAACCCTCACGCACTCGTACCTCACTCACACACACACACACACACACACACACACTGTCTCTCTCACTCACACACACACACACACTGTCTCTCTCACTCACACACACTCCACTCACATACTCCACTCACTCACTCACTCATACAACATATGCACTTGTTTTAGGGTTGATTTCGTCATGTGCGGCTCACCGGGCTCCCAGCAGGCGTTGGAGGAGCTGAGGGCGATGCAGGCCAACATGGCTTGTCGCCGACCTGTCGCCCACACCAACAGAGCCTACCACGGCAACCATGCTTGAATACCAGCCCTCCTTCGTTTCTCGCAATCTTCTATCATTCATTGTAGTTGCCAGTTACATTTCCGTGGCTCTGTGCCCTGCCTGACGTTTCTTGTTTGATCAGCGATTCGCGTTCCCTGTGTCTTTGTTTGTTT